ATGTATATATATATATATATATATAAACATACATACATGCCTATAATATTTTAAATTATGTGTGTGTGTATGTATGAATATATATATATATGTGTGTGTGTGTGTGTGTGTGTGTGTGTGTGTGTGTGTTTGTCACCAATAAGCTTACCAGTAGGAGTGGCCAGACCCAGTGAGCAGGGGCAGGCAATGACCAATACTGAGATGAAGAAGTTGAATGCCAACAGAAAGGTTGTGAACCCGTGCGGCATAGACGCAGGCGACAGCACCAAGTGGCCCAGGACTAACCACACGACCAGAGTCACCAATGCGATGATCACCACAACGGGTACGAAGCGACCCGCCACGCTTTGGGTTTTAGGGTTTGAAGCACGGTATATGAAATGGTGAGTTAGGGGGATGTTATGTATGCACGTGTACGGTGTATGTCTTGTCAGGATACCACAGATCACAAAATCTATGAAATAATGAGTTAGGGAGATATATATGCATGTACGTGTACTGTTTATGTCTTGTCAGGATATCAGATATGTTGTGCTAGAATGTAGTCGAGTACTTTAGAAACACAGCAAGCGCCAGTAAGGGGGTTAAAACCCTAATAAAACCTAAAGCAATGCTCACCACAACGAGGGCGAAGCGGCCTGCAACGCGACGGAGAAACGGGACTAATGAATTAAAAAGCGATATATATGCATATCTACCCCTCTTATCCTATCTACTATCTACCCAATATATATTAAACCCCCCTTATCTTAAACCTCGCCGACAACACAGAGAAAAAACTCGCAAAAAAAACTTGGTTTACACGACAGAGTAGACAGCCGACCTTGGCGTAGCCTAAATCGACCATGACATACACCACTGTTAAACTGCCGGATATAAACCTGGTTTATGCACCATATAAACTACATACTAGTCTGTGAGGTCCTCAATGGGTGCTTTGTTCGTCTGGGCATCCTCAACCATCCGCGTTACACGCGACAGCATTGTATCCGAGCCCACCTGCAGCCAATCAGAAATCGGCAAAGTTAAAATTGGCCGCAAGATATTAACAGACGGTGGATATCTGTTCCTCTGACATAAGGTACGTCACTCACAAATACACATACGACACACACGCCGATAGTACGAGCATCCACACATATCCCCCCATACATGCATACACTCACTCTGTAGGTACACGATTGTACCGTCCGCTATACGTACATACATTTCTCCCATAAGCTATACGTACACACACTTGTACCGTAAGCTATACGTACACACACTTGCACCGTGAACTATACGTACACACACTTGTATCGTAAGCTATACGTACATACATTTGTCAGCTATACGTACACACGCTTGTACCGTAAGCTATACGTACACACCCTTGCACCGTAACGCACAACTGTGTGCACACACATGCCTTGGTCGCCTTGACATGCAGCACCCCCACCGTGTTCATGCTGCCCCCCACCACACTGTCCTCAACGTCCTTATTCACCGGAAGGCTCTCTCCGGTCACCAATGATTCATCCACTGACGACACGCCACTCACCACCACCCCGTCTGTCGGTACCTTTGCGCCTGGATAGACCTTGAGCACATCACCCCGTTGCACGTGTTCAATGGGCACCTCAGTCTCTGTGAGGTCGCCAGCGTCTGAAGAGGAGAAGACAGACACATGAATGGTATGAGGCGACCCTAAACCCTAAACCCTAAGGCGCGTGACTGACAAGACAGACATAGGTGTACAGACGGAGGCTGATAGGGTTGTCAAGTGAGTGCTAGGGTTTAGGGGTGAGTGTAAACCCTGTGGATAGGGTTTGGGGTTTTAGAAACCCCCTAAACTCTAAAAACCCTAGAAACCGTACGTGTGTTGTGGGTATTACTTGCTCAGATAAGTTGATAGATGCTACGGAGATTTTAGGGTTTAGGAAATAGGGCTTAGGATTTAGGTTTAGAATTTGGCTTTTCAGGTTTGCGTAGAACTCATTTCTACTATGAAACACCCACGCAGAGACGCAGTAAGTAAAGCCCACACAACACAACACACTCCTTCAAACACATCTACACCGCACACACAACTACTGCCACAGCCGTTGGCCAGCACAGCCTGCGGAGCCTTGAGGTCGATGCGTGTGGTGGTGCATATCCCCGTAGTCATGCCGTTGGCAAGGCTTGGCTGTTGGTATAACACAGGCGATACACACATGTACAACAACATCATCATCATCATCAACACACGCACACATATATATATATATATATCTTCACGCACACATATATATATATATATATCTTCACGCCCACCACGCACCACATAGGCACATACCAAAGCCTTCGACTAGAACGGCATGCTTCGCCTGCAGGTCAATGAGTGTAGTAAGGGCCATAGTGGTCTTCCCTTTCGTCAGATGTTCCAGATATTTGCCCAGAGAGATGAACGTGATGATCATCGCAGACGCATCGAAGAAGGTCATGGTCTCAGGTAATGCCCTGTGTGTCAGTGGATGTA